TCACCTCGCGGCCGTTCTGCTGCCCTATCAAAGCACCGACAACTAGCCCGGGCTGTTCCCTGAGGGTATGGCGTGTGATGTAATCTGAGATAGTGAGGAGCACGAGAGGATGCAGAACAGCCTGCAGGCCCGAGTCGGAGGCCTTCTGAGTCGAGAGCAGTGGGTTTTTTGTAACCGACTCCATATTTGCGAATCGAGAAGGCAGAGAGAGCTATGTGAGGTGGTGTACAGCTGAAAATAACAATCTATGTATGAAGCTGCACCTAAACACTTGTTTGCTCTGGGAGATCTCAAATGGGGGGAGGTACTTCAGTTAGCCAGGGCAGTGCCAGGGTGTAGCTGTCAATGTTGGTGGGGCTGGCTGCCCCGCATCGATATTACCTAATGCATTCAAGGTTTGCACAGGAACAAGGAAGTACCTACATAAAGTACCTACCTATATAGCGTTTAATGTTCGCACCCCTTGTGCATACATTTTTCCCTTTTGAAACCATCATTGTATCACGCAATCTTATCCTGCTGCGCCAGCATCTCCCTCCTACTTGCAGATACTCTATCTGCTGTTTGAAGATAACGCCCTCCTTCAAGCCTATGGACCCCGGTGCGCCGGTAGAATAAGTAGCAGCAATCAGCTTCAGTATTGCACAAGGTCCCCTGCAACGTGAATATGAACCACGCCCTGTTGTGTGTTGCTCTGTGAAGACTCCATTGCAACAATGAAGGCGAACATGCAGGATGATCATCTCAGATTTCCTTTCTCCTCGGCCGAGGAGCGACCAGGCCGGCAGGGACAGCGATGTAATCGGTGGCTTAGGTACCTTAGGTATGTTGGGAGATGAAGGTGTTGGTGAAAGCGACATCAACTCTTCAACGTCATCGCTGACTTATACCTGGCCTTTATCCCTCTATAACGCAGCATTTATTTGTATATTGTCTCCTTTCTCATTCTTGCTATGTTAGGTCCAACATGAGCAGTTATCCAGGCCTCACAGCTATATGTCTGACATCTGCTTGGGGCATTTGAGCTTTCACTTATACGAAGGTTGTGAGTGTGCACTCACTTCTTTTTCCCAGGGACACAGAATGTTACATTAATCAACAATCACAAATGTCCTTCTATTCGTCTCATAGCCATATTCATAGTAGTGATGCTGTCCTGTGCACCAGCACCAGGCTAGCCTTCTTTATAGCCTATGTTGTCCCTCTACACAGCAATCAGCAAAGCCTTGTTGACATGATAGATGAGTTTGACTTCAGCCAATCTTTATGCGCCGAACAGGCCAGCATACGTATAAAGGAGCTACAATTGTCCTACACAGACAACTTATGGGGTGCCTTGGGACTTCCGAGCTTCTTGTCTCCCAACTCACTGCTGGACCTGGCTCACATGCTTAGATATCTACATGGATCGTCTCCTCTCTCCTAGATCAGGAGGCTTCTAACCCGTCACATCAATCCATCTGCCTGCTCTCTCTATTCCATCTGCCGAAATGATGCCAACATACTTCCCACCTCAACGCCCGGGTCAAGTTCCGCCTGGTCCGTTACATGGGCTAGATCCGACTTATGCTTGTCACCCCTCAAGTACTACTGCCCTTACTCCATCTAAAAGGCAGGCTGACCAGGAAGATGACGATATTCAGTTCATCTCTGAGAAGCCTGTGAAGAGATGCAGGGTCAGTGAGAAGCGGTCTATAATGCCCGTTGCCGAACAACCGACTGTTCCTATTAGTGCTACCACTGCTGCCCCTTGTGATGTTCCGAATCTCTCTACAACAGCAATACAGATGCCTGAAGATGACTTAAGGGATACAGAGAGACGACTGAGTACAGGAATGGTCGGCCTACCACATGACATGCAAGCCGTGGAGCTTACTTATGCCCTGAGGGGAGTATCCATGCCAGGGCTGGAAAGGTTTGTGCTTGACCAGCCTCTCCGCAAGCCTCGGCCGCCAAGCCCTCCTGACCTTTCACCGAAGCAGCTTCCATCAACGATCCCTCCGGCAACTGTGGATGTGCCAGGTAATCGAAGTACTCCTGAACCATTCGACTTCGAGAAGCTTCCTGGCTCTCATATCCTCGGTGAAAGCTTGAGTCAAACTCTATGGAAAGCTCATACACCAATGATGACTCCAAATTCGATGAAGGGCTCGCCTAACACTCAGCGGACTCGTGCTTCACAAACATCTATACACTCAATAAGTCATAATAACCCAACTTCTTCCAGCCATGACAAGAATGCTGGCCCAAACAGCATGCCGATGCTCCCTCCTGCTCCTTTACCCTATTCCCAAGCTTCTCATCACCCACCTTGTTCGGGGGGTAGCTTGACGCCATCGGAGGATCATCCTCATCATCACCACAACAGTCCAGCACATTCACAAAAGCAGCAATGTCAGGCCTGTTCACAGTTGAGGCGCCAGGCTCAACTTTCACGAGCACCGGGCTTACCGATAGTAAATACGAGTTTTCCACCTCACTTCATACCGCAATTACACTGCCACACGTCCTATGGTCAACAAATACATCATCCAATGATGGCCATGCCCATGGGAAGTAATATGCACCAATTCGCGCCGAACTATGCTCCAGTGATGATTCCAGCCAGCAGCAACGCCTTCGTCTCTGTACCATCCCACACACAACCTCAACATCTACCGCAACAAGTAACTCCCCAACAAGCCAAGGGGACCGAGAAAGACAATCAGGATTTTTCTGAGCGGTCTACTAAGGCACAATCACAAACAAGCCAAACGAACAATGCCGTTGTCAGCTCTAATAATGTTCCGAGCCCCTTGAAACCACCAGCCTCTCTTATTAAATCCAATTATCGCAAACCCTCACCCAATCTTATAGTTGACGTGGCCGAAACGTGCCAAGAGAAGTTTCCATTTGAAGAAGTTGCGAAGAGACATAATGTACCAGTAGATAAGGTACTTGACGTCTTTGCTGCCATCATCCAGGTCAGTCAGCTGCGACTTTCTCATCGATCACCGCCCCTTCTCCCTTTTGACATGTCTAAGGAGCACGAGATGCCTAGTCAATAAGTTTCTATTTCTAATTTCCTAGGCACAATTATCCATGGATCTTCCCTTTTCAGCTACGGATAACCATAACTAACCCCGATTCCAAAATAGGTGCCTCTCTTGCGATGTCCGACGGACCGTCGAAGAGCGGGGAGACTGGCTACAGGTTAGTCCCTGATGTCATTATCTTTCCCCCTCAGCAGGATTTGGTGAATTCCTACTTCTTTCCGTAATCGCTGACTCCAGCGTGCCAAATAGCGCGAGTTAAAGAATACAACAAAACAAAAAAGGACATTCAAGAGTCCAGGGGCGGTCATAGCGAAGGTCAGATATCGGAGGCTGCGGTGACTTCGACGGATATTGCCCAGAGGCTAGGGCAAGTTGATTTCCCGGAGGGATTCACATTAGGTGGAAGTAGAAAATAGAGTACATGAAGCTTTAAGGAAACAGAGTACTAATCATAATTGGATCTCAAAGACAGCTAGTGGATATTGGTTTTCGGGGAGATAGACTCAATGGCTAACGCTACTATCATTTCTTACGTTCTGTAATCTAACCTACCGCTTGCTTACTGTGGACATGGCCAGGTGACGGTAGGACTATACATACCACTAGGCATTATCACCCTTCTCATCATCTTCATCCGCGATTCTTTGCCAGATATCCCGCTCATCTTGATTCTCGGCCACATTGCCGCTACCCTGAGGCCCATGTGGGCTGAAACCACATTTCTCTGCTCTCGCCTTAAACGACAGGGGCGACAGCGAAGAGGGAGCGGAAGATGAAGGCGGCAATGGTGATGCAGGCGACTCTTCGTCTCGAAGATGCTGCTCTCTGGTCCCAGCGATCGACGCCTGCCTCCATCGACTTACCTCTTGCTGGTATTTCGCATCAACTGCTGTCTTTTGCGAAGAATGTGACTTACTCTTCTCCCCTCCTCTCGTTCTTTGTTGTGTGCTGCTACTCGTAACAGTTAGCTGGTCCAAGGCCGCAGAAATCTCAGGCATACCACTCTGGTCCCCTTTCCCCTTCCCCTTACTCTTCGCCAACTCCCTCTTGCGTTTCTGGCGCAACTGAGCCAACAAATACGGGTCAACCTCATGCAATTGCTTACGGGAAGTAATGAGGGCAAAGTGCCCATTGATGAGCTTATACTCCTTCTCGATAACTTCGGTCCCGTCCGGCGTGAGGTGCGCCGTGTCGCTCCGGCCGTCGTCTGACTCTGAGTCCGAGTTGGGTTCCCACGGGGTCTTCCGGTGTTTCTTCTGCGTCTCAGGCGACGACGACGATCTCGGCCCGCTTCCATACATTAGGTTTTGTGCTTCTGCTATGTTTTCCTGCATGCTAAGACTCAACTCGTTCCCGCGTTCTGCGAGATCGTGCACCTTGTTTGCGCGCTCCTCGTAACCAGCGCCTTTGAGCTGCGTCATCAACTCTGCGGCCCGAGCCTTTTGCTTCGGATCGCGGTTTTTTTCCGAGCTGGGAGTCATTGCTGCTTTTGTTGATGAGCAAAGAGCTGGACTGGTTTGTTATTCTCTCTTATTACTGGTGACTTAGAATGTGAATAGTGTATGTTGTTAGCAGTTGGAAACATGCCCTGCCGAGACGGAATATTCGTTGTTAACTTATAGAAATAAGGCATTGTTCTATGGTAATTATTGTATTGAAACGTATTTTTTGTTTTCTTTTCGTTTTCACGGCTTTTAAACAGCGCTCTTTGTTGGTGCGTGGGAAGAAAGGGATTCTTTGCTAGCAGCATTAACCATGACGTTCGCTTTACAATATCAAAGGTATGCAGAAGTTAAATAATATCTATACCTACTATGCAGCTAGAAAGTGGCATGTTGTTAATTATAAAGCGCAAAGCTTTATCTTGATGCAGCTGAACCAGAATCTTAGGAAGAGTTAGTTGTATTATGTACTACTACAATACCTCGTTTCTTTACACTGTGCCCCAAAGCCCATTTAGTTGCATCTCGATTGGTCTAGTGGTAAGGATACCTGCTTGTCAATCGACGCAAGTCGCAGGTGGCCGGGGTTCGATTCCCCGATCGAGAGACTATTTTGCCCAAGTTACAACCATTCATGGTATTTGAATATGTATTTTTTATTGTTCATTAATAACATGTCAACCTCCTAGAACATTTGATTCTTCAAGATGAACTGGACACTTATCTTGTTTTTAACAAAAGTAGAATGCCTATATAAATGGAAGCATAGGCCTATGAGCTACCCTAAAGCATCACTTCTATTGTCTGAACTCCTTTTGCCTTCCTTCCCTCTATGTTAGTCCAGATAGGTCCGTAATGAAGATTTTACCGAATGATCATGTCCTCGCGGTCTTTGCCAGTTCCAATATAACCGACCTATTCATCTTAGTAATTGCAAACATACATACGTGTACGACCGTCTTTTCTAACTTACCTTGATCCCAACCTCTGACTCGATGAGCTCAATATACTTTTGGGCCTGAGGGGGCAAATCGAACCACGACCGTATTCCTTGGGTTGAGCTCTGCCAGCCTTCAAAATCGATGTACTCGGGCGTGCATTTTTCGAGCTGGGATAGTTAGACTGCGCATTGTGATTATATGTATAATGACACTTACGAAGTTCAAGTCAGCAGGGAAACTTGTGATTCTTTCTCCATCAGGTGTGATGTATGCCACTGCGACACGGATCGTTGGAAATGTATCCAGCACATCAACTATGTAGGTCAGTTTGATTTCTCTGTCGAGTCCCACGAATAAGACATGTTTCTTGACTCTTACGCTTAGTTAAGTTAAGAGTGGTGTAGTCTATAGGTATACGTCAGTATAATATGGCATGAAGCATTCGGGGCCACAAGTCACTCACAATTCACAGCAGCGGAGTATTTGAGGACCACAAGATCCAGCCAGCCGCACCTTCTCCTTCTACCAGTAGAGACACCCTAAGATATAGTTTAGCGTAGTCGCATGATGAAGCGTCAAAGAATAGCTCACAATCTCTCCGCCGATGTCCTGTAGTTTTGTCCCGACATCATCATGTTGTTCCGTGGGGAAGGGACCACCACCAACTCGTGTCGTCTGTAAAATTAATCATCTTAACGTGGGTCCAGGAATAATTGTGGTCTTTTCGTTCCGACTTACATATGCCTTAACGACACCAATGATGTTCCTATGAAGTTTAAGTAAGCCTTATAACTATATTAAAGCAAACAGAGTGCTAGATATGATAACTCATTTATTGATCGATACCAATAGAGGAAAGAAGGTAATCAGGAAAGAACGAAGACCTACTTGACATTAAAGGGACTGATTGTCAGACCCTGGATGCAACCACCAATTGAGCAGTTTGACGAAGTAACGAAGGGATAGCTGCCGTAGTCCAAGTCAAGCACTACAACCAATCAGCCAAATCATTCCTTCTGGGTCAGCCTTTGCATAGAGTGACATACTTAAAGCTTGCGAGCCCTCGACGAGAATCGAGCGTTTCTCCTTTTGTGCGACTTTCATGTACTCTACAGCATCGATGATGTAGGGCCGCAGCTTTTCCCTAATGTCGACATACTTCTGGATCTCTTTCTCGACATCGTACACAAGGAGCTCGCCATATCGGGCGCGATATCCCTCGGCTAACGTGCGTAACTTGGTGGCGAAATCATCATGATAGATGTCATTTACTCTCAGGCCGTCTCGAGCGGCCTTAGTGCTGTAGGATGGACCAATGCCTCGCTTGGTGGTTCCAATTTGGCTCTTTCCAAGTGCTTTCTCGGAAAGCCCATCGACAGCTGCGTGCAGAGTGAGATTCAAGTGGCACCGCGAGCTGACATGGATGCGTTTGTGAACCTCGGGCACGCCCTTGGCCTCAAGGTCGGCTAGCTCTTCGAAGAAGGCATCGACATTGAAGACAACACCGGACCCAATCAAATTATCAGTCTTGGGGTTGACCAAGCCGGATGGCAAAAGATGAAAAGAGAACTTTTGAGTGCCGGTACTATGAGAGAATCCTGGTAAGCTGAGGTCTATATGGAGATGTTAGTGATATCACAGTGGCCGTACTGAATAGAATGACCGGCGTTATGGCCGCCTGCGGCGCGTGCACAGATATCGAATGAGCTTGTTGCTAGCAAATTGTCTGTCAATTTACCCTTCTGTAAAACGAACAGTTAGTCGATAATTCAGTACCTCAAAGAAAACCAGGGCTAGAGTGGGCGTGGACATACGCCTTCGTCTCCTACACACGAATTAATTGAGTTAGTTTTTCAGATCCAAACCCTGGTACAATAGAAGGTGTCTCACCCCATTGGGAGCCGAGAATGATTGAAACCATGGCGCTTGGATGTGTGCTTGATGTCCTCTTGCTAGTTCCAACGTCAGGGCTTACTCATAAGTGACCAGGAAAAGTCGCAGTAGAAATGACGCTCTCAGACTGACCGGCAACGGAGATGCAAACGCGACACGGTAGAATATCAGACAGCGAAGTGGGGGGGTTGGAGGGGCACACTGGAGGGGCATCTGGAGGGGCATAAGAAGCTACAGGCCCGCCAGCTGAAAGGGAAGTTAGGAAGCCCTACAGCGACCTGTTATCCAATGACAGACCCTGCTCCGGCTAAACTAGGCTTCGTGCACGGTCGTACGGCATGCAAAAGTGGATCGATGAAGTTAGTATCTTCCCCAGCGATGCAGTTGTAAGGCACATACAGCATTAAATAATCCATCTCAACTTGTGGAACGGGACTCTTAGTGACATCATCGATTGTTGGCCCAAGAGACATTAAAAAAAGACCACAGGGTGTTTGTTATTAGGTATCGTGTTGTAATGAGACAAGGTCTGTGAGTTGACACCAAGTTTGAGGGTGATCTTTCTTGTATCTATGGTAACAACACAGTTTTATGCTCTTCTTTGGTAGCTTCCTACCTAGGTACTACCTAGCTAAAGTAGGTAGTGTCAAACAAGACATAGTGATCCCCTATCTACACCACTGGCGTTTTTAGGGTAATGAGTGCTGACCGCAAAGCCCTACTTGGACCCAAACTGGTTCAGTTTCTGGTTCAGTTTCAAACGATGCTGTCTAGACCACTGATCGGATGTTCATACCAAGGACTCATAAATCTTTGAGAGCCCCTCACCACTCTCGCACTTTTTTTGAGCATTTCAATACGCCCATTCTGCATAGGGTGACACCCGCTAAAGTAAGGGACTCCTTCTCGTAAAACCAATGCAGACTTTAGGAAATGCAAAGTTACAGAAACTTGCCAAAATTCTTAAGCAATGTTCGCCTTAATCTCATTACTGGTCAACTCGTAACTCGTGGCTCCAGATAATTAGAGCGCATAGTGTAGTAAGGGTTACATCAGTAAGTCGTGATGAGCATGTACTTTTGATCTTCCATCGAAGTTGAAGGATTCAGGGCCATCTACAGTACAGTAGAGCCCCAATCACCTCACCCCACGTCTCAGGGGTGTACAGAGTCAATAGTCCAACCAAACTCCACATTTATCCCCCCCATTTCTGTCTCGTCCAGCGTGGTGTTCTTACACAAGTGCCATATGTTTGTTTCTTTCGGCCCGTAGATAAACACAAACCAAGCCACGCCGCTGCAATTGAATCAACAGAGCTAATTGACTAAATCAATGATTGCGGGGGTTTGACCGGTCTTAGCCTGCCCTCGCTGGCGCATTGTCGTTATTTGTTTGAAGCAGAAGCCCCGTAAATAGCCATGACTACCAGAGGTATAGATGATAATTAACCTAAAGTATCATTCGAAAGACGAATAAATAAGAATCACTATCAGCTAAAACTTGGTACAAAGGAGATATTTTAGATACAGGTTGTATCTATTGACATAGAGGCATAAAAAGGAGGTATTAAATCACGTGCTGGTCTAACATTTACCTACTGTAGATCTCTGTTGCCCCTCTTCAGCTTTTCTTATCGGCTATCAGTTTGTGTACATACATGTATATAGTGGGGTGTTGGGAGCCAAACACTATTACAGCTGGTGGGAAGGGAGAATAACCAATCCTTAGCAAGCCACAAGATAAAAATTTCAGTCTTCGTGCAAGCTTTTCTGGGAAACACTCTTGTTTCGTTATAATCAGGATGAGGCTCAAAGATGTTCACCGGCTAGAGCTGCCGCCAACCGCGGACATGCATGTCCACCTGCGACAAGGCGAGGTCTGTGGTACTATGTTCTCCGGCTCACGATGTATCATTGAAACTGACTTCGAGCAGGTCATGCAACTTGTGGTTCCGTGGATTCGAAGGGGAGGAGTAGACACCGTGTTTGTGATGGCATGTGAAATCTAGAAAAACATATCCAGCTTACCCAATATTTAAACTAACTCTTCTTCTTAATAGCCAAATTTGCAACCACCCGTCACTAGTGTGGCTGCTGCTTTGCAATACAAGTCCCAACTGCAGCTTATCGAGCCCGAAGTTAATTATCTGATGTCTCTCTATGTGAGCTTCATATAGGATGATATAAAGGTCACCGTAGACTGACGATGGCCAGCTTCACCCTTCCGTTACCCCTGATGTAATTGCTGAAGCTGCGAAGGCTGGCATCGCAGGAGTCAAGCTGTACCCTCAAGGTATATAGTGATCGTGTTTTCATCCCTACCTGGTTTCTTTTTTTTCTAGGTGTCTAACATCAAGATAGGCGTGACAACAAATTCTGAATCGGGAGTCGCTGGTGATTTTGTTGAGGCCTATGCGCCAACCTTCGCAGCCATGGAGCAGCATGACATTGTGCTGAACTTACATGGAGAAGTGCCCGGAACTGTGCCAACAGATGATGTCTCACTCGAGGAGCTGTTTCTACCCACTCTGAAGAGACTAAATGAGAAATTTCCAAAGCTTCGCATCGTCCTCGAGGTTCGTGATAGCCCCGAGTAGCTTCCCTAACACTGTTCTAACAATGAGTGTTAGCACTGCTCTACTGCCGCAGCTGTCGAGGCAGTGCGATCCTGTAGCTCAACAGTTGCTGGTAAGCTTGGCTTCGAAGATCCTGGTCTCAAGAGATAGCTATTGCGGTGATCGATGAGGTTCTTACGTATTGTACTTTCAGGCACG